TCTCTCTCTCTCTCTCTTTTTTTCTCTCTCCCTCCTCATCCTCCTCATCCTCATCCTCCATCCTCATCCTTCCTTCCCCCCTTCCCCTCCTCCCACTTTCCTCCCTCCCCGCCCTCCACCACCACACCCCTTTTTTACTACTTCTTCCTCCTACTCCTCCTCTATCTTCCTCCTACTCCTCCTTCTATCTTCCTTCCTACTCCTCCTTATCGACACCTCAAATCTACCTCTCCTCCCTCCTCCCCTCTTCCTCTCTCCTCCCCTTCTCCTCTCTCCTCCCTCCTCCTCCCTCTCCTCTTCTATCTTCCTCCTACTCCTCCTTTATCACACCTCAATCTACCTCTTCCTCCCCTCCTTCCCCTCCCTCTCTTCCATCCTCCTCCGTCTCCCTCCTCCCTCTCCTCCTCCATCTCTCCCCCCCTCCTCCACTTCCTCCCTCCTCCTCCACCAGCAACCACCTCCCTCCTTCCCTCCTCCTCTATCTTCCTCCTACTCCTCCTCTATCTTCCTCCTACTCCTCTTCTATCTTCCTCCTACTCCTCCTTATCGACACCTCAATCTACCTCTTCCTCCCTCCTTCCCGTGATTGGCGGATTCACCCTAAAGACAATCGTAAATTATTAACGCATTGGCGCTATCGGAGGGCGCTGATTGGCTGCCTGTCCCCTGCGCTTCTCGACTCTGATTGGCTGTCGGTTTTCGTTCGATTTCGTAGAGTTCGACTTCCATTTTCTCGATGTGATGAGGTTAAACTGCCATTAAGTGGTGTGTCGGGTTTTGTTTCCCGTGAGAATTAATGCTATAAGTGTGATTTTGGCTTTGGGTTTGGTAAACAAGTGTTTTGTCAGTGACTACTATGTTTTTTTGTCGTTTTTTTTCATCTGTGTATATATGTATGTATGTATGTTATGTATGTATATATATGTATATATCTTTGTGTGTGTGTGTCCTCTTGTTCTTTCTCTCTGTCTGTTTATATATCTATTTATTCTATATTCTATATATGTACACACCACAACACACACACCCACACACAACACAACACACACAACACACACACCACACACACACATACACCACACACATACACACACACACACACACCACATATATATATATATATATATATATATATATATATATATTATATATTTCTATATATATATATATTGTATATATATACATATATATATATATATGTTTAAAATATATATGTATATGTAAAAAATGTATATGTATATATTACAGAGAGAGAGAAGAAGAGAGAAGGATACTAGTAGATATATAGATAGACAGATAGATAGATATAGATATGTATACATGTATTTTGTTCATTCCAACTTCGGTCAAACTCTCTCCGGAAGTGTCCCACATCCGGGTACTCTAACGTAAAAAAAAAATATGCTCATTAATGTGGTTCTCATCAGCACTCAAAAAAAAAAAAAAAAAAAAAAAAAAAAATTTATCTTTACTGTTTGAGATTCGTGTCATTAATTAGCTGCAGATACAGTTAATAAGTTAATTTAGGAAACTGAAGGGGGAAGGTTTACATAGATATATATTTTATGTGATTATCATTTTCTGTGATAGTGTCATATTATTTAGTTAGTCATATTGTTTAATTTTATCTTATTTTTATTCATATGCCAATTTCGCAGTACCAGTTTCTTATGTAAAAACAATTAATCTATGTTTATAATTATACATACACACCATTATATCAACAGAACATGAAAGTGATAAAGTTCTAATTTTTTCATTCTAATGATATAGAAATCTTCAAATTACTTATAGCAAAATTTCGTAATATTTGTTGTTATAGACATTGTAGTTGTGACTATGATGATGATTGTTAATGCTATTATCATTTTCATCATTACTATCACCGTTACTATTATTTTCGTTTTTTATTATTGCTCTTCTCATTATCACTATCTTCTGCTTTATTACTACCTCCATAACCATCACAATTAAGAAATAGATATAACAAATCAATTTACAAATACCTAATATTACCCGAGTCACCCCTTAAACCAAAGACAATCAAGCGATCCCCGTTTTCTATACTTCACACCTCATCCCTCCCTCCCTCCTCCCCCCTTTTACGATAATCAGCCCCCCCTCCCCCCATTACCCCTAATCCCCCTCCTCCTCTTTTCCCTTAATTATATTTTTGTTTCGAGTGTAAAATGAAATTATATGACATGGCGGAACTTAGAGGAAGTTCATGGCGGGAAATATTGGCGGAAATGGCGCTACGGCCGCCATTGGGTTGTTCAGTGTGGAAAGGGTTAGTTTGTGCTTAATTGGTGTTTGTGGGTTTGTTTGTGTGGATTTTGTTGGCTTGTGGGTTTGTTTTGTGTGGTTTGTTGGCTTGCTTGTTTGTTTTGTGTGGATTTTGTTGGCTTGTGGGTTTGTTTGTGTGGATTTTGTGTGGAGCTTGTGGGTTTGTTTGTGTGGATTTTGTTGGCTTGTGGGTTTGTTTGTGTGGATTTTGTTGGCTTGTGGGTTTGTTTTGTGTGGGATTTGTTGCTTGTGGAGTTTGTTTGTGTGGATTTTGTTGGCTTGTGGTTTGTTTGTGTGGATTTGTTGGCTTTTGTGGGTTTGTTTGTGTGGATTTTGTTGTGTGTGTGTGTGTGTGTGTGTGTGTGTGTGTGTGTGTGTGTGTGTGTGTGTGTGTGTGTGTACTTATACATATAAACATTTACATACGTAACCTAAAATGACACACGCATATTCAGAAACAAACAACCACACACACAAACAAACAGACACAAATTCACCCATACATTTAACCACACAATACAAGCACACACACTACACCCTTTCCTCTCTCCACACACACGCACACGCACACACACAACATACGCACACAAACAAACACACCCACACACACTCACACACTCGTCCGCACATGAGTAAAACACACACACCACGTCGGAAGTCTGGATTGGTCAATGAACCGAGGGAAGCGAGGGGGGGGGGGTGAGCGGAGGGGGGAGTGGAGGAGGGGAGGAGGAAGGCGAGGGGGGGGGGGGCGGAGGAGGGGGGGAGGGAAGTGAGAGATGAGGATGCTGATGCTGACGATGGGGTTCCTTCAGTCTGGATAAAGGATGGTGAGGAAATTAAGAAATAAGAAAATGATAATGATAATGATCATAACAAGATTATAAGGATAAGAGTATATGTAAATATGTGTGTGTGTATACACACATATATTCACATTCTATATATATATATTATGTATACACACACACATACACACACACACACACACACACACACACACACACACACACACACCACACACACACACACACACACACACACACACATATATATATATATATATATATATATATATATATATATATATAATATATATATATATATATATATATTATTATATAAATGTATGTATGTATGTATGTAGAATATGTATACATATATATATATGAACATATATACATATATATGTGTATATATACATAATATATATATGTATATATGTATATATATACACATGTGTGTGTGTGTGTGTGTATGTATGTATATATGTATGTATGTATGTATGTATGTATATATATGTATGTATGTGTGTATATGTACATATATGTATATATATACATATATATATATGAATATGTATATGTATACATATTTGAGTGCGTATATATATATATATATATATATATATATATATATATATATATATATATGCATATATATACATATATATGAATATAATCATGTATATATATACATATATATGTATATGTATATGTATACATACACACACACACACACCACACACACACACACACACACACACACACACACACACACACACACACACATATATATATATATATATATTATATATTATATATATATATATATGTATATGTATATATACATATATATTAATACATACATATATATAATATATATATATATATATATGTACATATATATATATACATGCATAAGAGTGGTGTGGAGGTTTCATTATTACTTAGAGATGGTTTGTGTATGTATGTCAGTATGCTCTCCATGATAAGGAGCTGCTGGTGGTATGGTGTGCTTGCTAAGACTGAAAAATCTTTGCGATGTATGGGGTGATCTGTGTCATCTGCGTGATTCCTGATTGCCGAAAAAGGGTGGTTTGGTCATTTGGGTGCCAGTTCTGTCGGAAATACCTAGGTGTTGCGAGAAGCGTGTTTTCAAGTGTTTTGTGGTCTTCCCGATATATGATGCCGTACAGCTATCACACGTATATTTGTAGACAATGTTAGATTTTAATTCAGAGGGTACTGTATCTTTGATTTGGAAAAGGTTTTGAATGATGTTCTTTGTTCTGAAAATAACTCTTAGTTTGATCTGTGGGAAAAATTCACTGACTAGTTTGGATACTTTTTGTTTTAACTGGAGGCTGGGAGGACCTGTGTAGGTGACGGGAAAGTAAAGTACTATGATTACTTTATGTCATTACTATCATTAATTCTGTCATAACAATTACAAATGCATACAACAAAACTATTGAGACTAATTTGTATTTCGTGAAATTGCATCAGATCTTATAAATTTTCTCGCCTCTTTCTTGTTCTAGTTATTCCCCTTTCCCTTTGTGATGTGGAGGCTGGGAGGACCTGTGTAGGTGACGGGAAAGTAAAGTACTTTCTTTGGAACCGTAATGTTGGAATGCTTGTTGCTCAAGATGTTGTTCAGAGTTTACCGATGTATGTATCAGTAAAATGATTGGGAAAGCCATTATTGTAAAGGAGGTTACGGATGAATGAAAGTTCCTGATTTATATATGTCCAGTTAGAGCATATGTAGTATGCTCGTGTGGTGAGTGTGTTGACTAGATTTCGTTTGTATGTGAGTGGGATGAACGAAGAGAACTTTGAACACAATCCAGTAAATGTGGGTTTTCTGTACATTGATATGTCAAAGCTGTTTCCAGAGTGGTGAATATACATATCCAAAAAAGGCAACTTTCATCTCTTTTTCATATCACAGTGAATTTCATATTCGGTGTGTTGCGAGTTGAGGTAGCTAAGAAATTCTTGAACATGTTCCTGTGCTTTGAATATGAGAAAAGTATCATCAACAAATCTTCTGTAATACAAAGGTTTGAAAGGTATAGGGCAGTTTGAAAGCCAAATGTGTTCATAATAACATAAGAATGCATTAGCAAGCGTAGGGCCAAGTGGTGATCCCATAGCTACGCCATCTCGCTGTATAAACAACTGGTTATTAAAAATGAAATGGCAATCTTGGACTGACAGTTCAAGCATCTTTCTTAAATTTTCTTTCGAGAAGCCTTGGACTGTTTCAACTGTCTGAAACAAGTTGTTCATGCAAATGTCTATTGTTTCTTTCAGTGGTATATTCGTAAATAATGAAACAATATCAAAACTGACCATACAGCACTTGTCAAAACTAATAGTAGTAATTTCTTTGGCAAAGGTGAATGAATCCTTTACTGTAAAAATATTTGTGGTTAGAGGGGTTAGAAATGGAACAAGGAATTTAGCTAGTTGGTAACTGCATGTTCCTATGGCAGATAATATGGGACGTAGAGGAATTCCGTCCTTATGTACCTTTGGGAGACCGTACATAATTCCAGGTGTTGATCCCTTTGCATACAAATTTCGGTAGGTATCTTGAGTTATTACATCATTTGTTAACAGTCTGGATAGTAGTCTGTTAATTTTACCTTCACATTGTAACATGACTGAGAAAATATCTCTCTGAACCAGATTGAATTTACTTGTATCAGAGATAATATCCATCATCTTGTTTACGTAATCCTGTTTGTTCAACAGAACAATGCCATTTCCCTTATCAGGCTTAGTAATTACTACGTCATTTGATTTAGACAAGTTCTTCAGTGCTATGAACTCGTCTTTAGGTAAATTGTTATCAGAGACAGAATTGTGGGAATAGAAAGAATTAAAAGCCAGATATTTAATGTGGGTGTCAACATAATTGGAACCTTTGCAATGTGGATCATAGAACACTTCCTTCTTTAGATCATGATGAAGTTTCTCAAAAATTGTGAAATGTTGTAGTAAGTTGAGGCGATCAGGGTAAAATGAAAATTTTAGACCTCGTGACAAACCTCTCTTTTGCACATCGGAGAGGTGTGTGTCGGAACAATTGAAAATGACCTTGTCTGCGTCCAGGGTTGTTTCAGGGATGTAACCCAACCGTTTAAGCTTTCGGGACTGTATGAATGATTCCCTTACCATGCAATGGTTATTACGCTTTTCAATCAAACACTTCAGATGATTAAAATCAAAAGATGACACACTACATTTCAATTTTCCATACAGTTCATCCCTCTTTATCTTCGCACGTCTTAACTCACTATGTTTAAGTGAAATTTCCTGTCTGAGTAAGAGTTTCTGACAATTTCTATAGGTGGTTGTTCGTTGTAGTGCATGGCTAGGGACTTTGAATTTCAGAAAATTAGGCGTCAAATTCTGTACCTTGCACGCACTGAGAAATTGTAAATCACTCTCCCGCTTTCGTATTTTCAAGTCACGGCGTTCGACAGCTCTGTACAGCAGTAGCACCGGGTGACCTTAGCGACGAGTCAGGACATTCCTGATGGGCTCATTGCGTGGGAAGCGCAGTCGTATCAAGAAGAGAAACACCAGGGCTGGGACCATCATGTTTATTGGGCGACGTTTCGGATTATCAACTTAAATCCATTCTCAAGCCAATCTAATGGGAGAAAGTACACTATAAGGAAACTATAAAATAACATAAAATTCCTAAGTGGGCGTTACAACATTAGATAACATAAAATAAACTAATAAAACAAGTAAAAATGATAAAACTAAAGCAATACTAAAACTGTTAAAAACTAAAAAAAAAAAAAAAAGGTTTAACATAGATGACTAGTACAAAAAGAACGTAAGAATACAGTTAAAACGAAAAAAATGCATGGATAAAAACAAAACAGAACGAAACATAAGAATATATAATGGCTTTCCCAATCATTTTACTGATACATACATCGGTAAAACTCTGAACAACATCTTGAGCAACAAGCATTCCAACATCACGGTTCCAAAGAAAGTACTTTACTTTCCCGTCACCTACACAGGTCCTCCCAGCCTCCAGTTAAAACAAAAAGTATCCAAACTAGTCAGTGAATTTTACCCACAGATCAAACTAAGAGTTATTTTCAGAACAAAGAACATCATTCAAAACCTTTTCAAATTCAAAGATACAGTACCCTCTGAATTAAAATCTAACATTGTCTACAAATATACGTGTGATAGCTGTAAGGCATCATATATCGGGAAGACCACAAAACACTTGAAAACACGCTTCTCGCAACACCTAGGTATTTCCGACAGAACTGGCACCCAAATGACCAAACCACCCTTTTCAGCAATCAGGAATCACGCAGATGACACAGATCACCCCATACATCGCAAAGATTTTTCAGTCTTAGCAAGCACACCATACCACCAGCAGCTCCTTATCATGGAGAGCATACTGACATACATACATATACATACATACATATATATACATACATATATGTGTATATTTACATGAAAATATGTACATATACATATGCATATGTGTGTGTGCGTGTGTGTGCAGTGATAATGATAATAGTAGTAATACGTTTAACTTTATTTAGTTAAAGCAGCAAAAGTAAAATTGCCACTTTACAATATTTGCATTCATCTAATACAGTAAGGTACAGTTGACATATAATATCTGGTTGTATGACAATGCATATACATATGATTATATAAAGTATGTATGAAATCTTTGTTAACAAAATCCACGCTGATACATTATGTTTCTCCTCCTACAACAGAAGACAAATGAAGACAGAGAGGAGAAGATAATGATTGGAGGAATAGGGAGAAAAAATACAAGAAAAGAAGAGAAAGACAAAGAGACAGAAAGAGAAAATTAAAAGAATAGAATGAGAAAGAGAGAGAGAGAGAGTGAGAAAGAATGAAAAACAGGAAGATAGATAGAGGGGGAGGGGGAGATAGAAAAGAAAGAAAGAGAGAGAGAGAGATGAAAAAAAAACATAATTCACCAGCACAGGACGTGAGATCTGTTACAGAATAGGAATAAGACAGAATTAGAAAAATAAACAGTACAATTACATGAAAGTGTGAAGGCCCCGTATTTCTATAAGAACTCACAAAAGACAAAGAAAAAAACCACTGACGGCTTTCGGAGAGACGAGAATAAATGCGTGAAAGTTGGAAAACGGGAGGTAAAAATTGTAAAAAAAAAAATAAAAAAAAGAAGATAAAAGCAATGAAAAGGAAATGAGACGTATTGGGGAATTGAAGAAGGAGAGAGAGAGAGAGAGAGAGAGAAATCTTATTTTCGTAAAGGTTGATTAAAAGTGCGCGGGCGGGAACTGAAAGTCGATTCGTTTTTGTTTTTCTCTTTTTTTCTCTCTCTCTCGCGCTATTGTTAAACTATGAGAAGAGAAGAAGAAGGAAAGAGAGAGATAAAAAAAAGAACAGAAAAATAAATAAATAGCGAAATGCCACCACGACACGGTAACTTTCCCGTCTCAGTTACCGAGTAAATAGTCAACGACATGGCCGCTTTGTCTCACTATCTTCCCAATAAGCTTAAAGACTTCGAAAAAGAAAACAACAAAAACACAAAACGCAAAAAATTCATCTGTGTTTTTCTCTCTCCTTTTTTTAGAGGGAGTATATATAAGAAGGTCAGGTGACTGTCTCTTAAACCATCACGTAAGACAAAAAAAAGACAAATTTCCAGTTTGTGAAATCTTTTCGATCGATTATTTCGTAAGACGGAAGTGTAGAGTCGCCTTGTTCCAATATTACGTCGTGTCTTATTTTTGTTTATGTTATTGAGAAATCATATCTGTTTTCTGTTTTCTTTTTTAAAAAATCATATGTACATGTATAATGGTTTGACAGTTTCATAGAAAAAAGAGAAAAAAAATAATAAAACATTTACGCTCGTTGACACGTAGCGAAGTGAAAAGCTAAATGGCTGATCGGATGGAGGGGGAGGGGGGGAGGGGGTGGTGGGAGGAGGGGGTTGATCTCACGAATTTGTAATATTAGACTTATGAGTGAGCGCAATATTGGTTTTTTCCATTGCGTGTCTGTATGGACTGTTTAGCGTATGTGTGGGGAGTGTTTGTGTGTGTTATGTACACGAATACAGACACATACATGAATTGGGTTTATGTATGTGTGTATGTGTGATCTAGTGCGTGTGTGTGTGTGCGTGTGTGTGTGTGTGTGTGTGTGTGTGTGTGTGTGTGTGTTCGTACGTGTAAGTGTGTGTACAACTCATACAGAGAGAGAAACAAACATCCATCCAGACAAACAGACACAGAATCAGATCCAAAAACGAACAAGCGACATGACAAGACAAGCAGGAAAGACGAAAAAGGCAAGCCAGCAGAAGAGAAAAGAGCGAGAGAGAAGAGAAGAGAAAAGAGAAAGGCCGAGAAAGGATTTTTGTTCCATGCTGCTTCGTTCCATGGATTCGAAATCTCTCTCCGCGTCTCATGAATTTCTTGCGGAAAAAAAACGACGTCAACTGCAAGGTTCCTCTTTTCTTCTTCTTCTTATACCTCATACTTTATTTTCTTTCTCTTTTTTTTCTTTCTTTCTTTTCTCTTTTTTTTTTTTTTTTTTTTTTTTTTTTTTTTTTTTTTTTTTTTTTTTACTTTTCTTTCTTTTCTCCTTTCGTTTCCTCTAAATCTGTCTCCGTCTCTGTCTGTCTGTCTGTCTGTCTCTCTCTCTCTCTCTCTCTCTCTCTCTCTCTCTCTCTCTCTCTCTCTCTCTCTCTCTCTCTTCTCTCTCTCTCTCTCTCTCTCTCTCTCTCTCCTCCCTCTCCTCTCTCTCCCTCCTCCTCTCTCTCTCTCTCTCTCTCTCTCTCTCTCTCTCTCTCTCTCTCTCCTCTCTCTCTCTCTCTCTCTCTCTCTCTCTCTCTCTCTCTCTCTCTCTCT